TGTCAATCCTCAGCAGCTTAAAATAGCTTCTGCATTTCACACAGTATGCCACACATGTCAATCAATGCTTCAGCAACACCATGACTATGCTTGGCGTGTCTTTACACACCTATGACACCTGACGGCTACTTCTGTAATCCCCGTACATGTTGCCGTCATCATTACCATTCTCTGGGCTTTGTGCCACTAGGCGAGACCTTTAAAACCTTTCAATATGTTGACCACAAATAGCAGTTTGTCGTCCTCTTTTGTTCTGAAGCATTTGTCGTCACTAGTAGTTTGCTAATTATATTGTAAAACGAACCGGCTCTCCCTCCCTCCCATTCTTCAGGTCAGAGTCCAGCCCTCATGTAGTGGATGTGGATGATCAATAAATGGTGGAAAAGTACTGCAGGCTGTCAGGCATCCGTATGCTTTAGGAGTGACAAGCACACTTGCACAAATTTCAAAAGGGGCATAAAAGATCAATAAATTCTTGCCACGAGACACTTATCATGTGCTGAAGACAGTTGCTCATTTAACTGAAAGCGCTCCCACAGCCAACGAGCCTTTGGCCTCTCTCCTGGTGGTGGCTTCAGCCAGAGTCAAGGCATCAATTAGCAAATGCCTTCACATACAAAACCCACCAGCTGGTACAGTTACATTAAATGGATGAGCATTTTGAAAAGAGGCTGCATTATCCATACATTTGGCTTTCCCGTCCACTCTAAGCGGAAGGAAACATGACTGATAGACGGGTCAATTTCCTTGTCCTCTCTCAAATAGCCAACAATGACGAGCCATTTGTGGGCATAATGGCTACAATGAAAACTGTTCCATTTGCCAGCTGAGCTGTGGTGTGTTCCAGGGAATCCTGAAACCTGATAGGGTTATCCATCAAATGTTTTGTATAGTGGTTTCTTTGAAAAAATACTGCCTCATGGTTTTATGCCGCCGCCAAGCAGCCAAATTGCAGGAAATATGGTCACAATCTCCCCCTCATGAGTTACAGCATTTATTATTAAATAGCCAGAGGGCTTTTAGCAGAACATTACAATGTCACAGAGGAGTTGACCTTTGACCATTTGGATATACAATAAAATGTTATCACCTAATTTTATCTTTATAGACATTTGAGTTAAATTGTGACATTATTAGTGTATGAATTTGCCAGTTATGAACAAAATAGTATTTTGTGAGGTCATAGTGTGCCACTAGTAATGTAATTCCCTCTGTGCATTCCTGATATATTATTATATTGATATATATAAATAGCTGTGACCTCGAACTTTGACCTTTGACCACCAAAATCTAATCAGTTCATCTTCAGGTCCAAGTGAATCTAAACAAATTTCCTCAGGGTGGTCTTGAGATACAACATTCAAGAGACAAAAACTGTGTATTGTGAGGTCACCGCGACCTTGACCTTTGACCACAAAATCTAATCAGTTCATCCTTGAGTCTAAATGAGTGTTTATGCCAAAAGAAGTTTCCTCATGGCATATAGAGGCATACAAATGATATAAGGTTTTATTCTTACAATCACTTTACTTTTGCAGCTTTTTGTAGAAGAGTAAAATGAAGATGAGATATTATTTGAAAAATAATCTAGTTTCTATAGATTGAGGTGGTGAGACTGTTTTAGGTGAAACAGCTAAAAACCGCTATCAACTAAGTGATGATTCTTTTTTTTTTAAATGTACAAACTCAACAAAACAACGAGCAACACTAACATATAGTTACCTATAGTCACGTACCATTACAAAACATGTTTGCATGGAGAACTGCAGCCTACATCCACCAGTTGTAGTTGGGGCACATAAAGGATTGTGGGGCCCAAACTGCACAAACATTTAAATTCTGAACCTGTCTGGGTGTGTATTTGTACTGTACGTGGAGGTCTGCACAGAGAGTACATGCACAAACTGCAGAGGAGCCTCCCTTTTAACATCAGCTGACATTGAAAAATCCACACCTCATGTAACTGATGAGTAAGATTAAAACATATGAGAACTGGTTTATCTGTAGAGATGGAGGCTCTCGCCTGCAAACGCAGAGCTGTTCTGCAGTTGTGTTTTTGCAGCATATTGGCTTGACAAAGAGTTTACACTTAATCTAACTGAGCCCTGTCCAATAATAGATTTAGTTTTTTTTTAAGAAGCACATAATGAAATGTTGATGGGGGAGTAATTAAATCAATCACAGATTGTGTCTATATTACACTAAACTACCTGGGATGGGCCGCCCATCCCAGGTCCCGAAGCATGCAAACCCCATGTTCGTGCATTCACTAGAGATGCAGGCATGTTTCAGAGGAGTTGTTTAAAAAAAAGAAAAAAAGAAGCTATCACTGCTGCTTAGACAGTGCCAGCTACCTGCATGCTTATCTGCTGTTGTTTATTTTTCCTTTCCACGTGTTAAGTAACAAGAAGAAATAACTGCTGAGCTGTACAGCGGAAGAGTCTCCCAAACATTTGCAATCAATAATATTTTATGAGCTATTTGCATGAAAAATGACCTCACTTTATGTGTGATGCATTGCAAGTGCAAAGGTTTAACTTTCCGAACAAGCGTGGTGCACTATGCAGTTCCAGCTAGTGATGATCTTTAAACATTTGAAAGGTGTAGATGTAGATGTGGATTCGCAAAAGGTTTCAGTACCTCTGCGGAGCAAGGCATAAGAGCTGAGTGACAAATAAATTAGCTATTAGCCACATGAGCTAATGTTGAGGCAGTATAGTTAATGTCAGCTCACCAATACATTACTGTCAGCCACATCCAGCAGCATTCTCTCATGGTGTCTTTATTGCTTGCTGTTTATTAGTCTGTAAAGGAATGAAAAACCTCACCTGTGTCGGTATGTTCTGTACCTGGTGGAGGAATGGATCACTCTCTGTAAAGGGAGACAATTACACTAATAGTTTCATGATGTACAAACCTTATATAATAAGTGATAAGATGTAAACTTGTCTTTAATATGTCAATATGGAATATACCACAAAGGGAGCATGTGGAAATAAATAGTTTATTCTGCTTTTGGAGAACATGGAGCAGTGGTTTTAATTCCAAAAAATAGTGAATGGCTCAGGCGTAGTCAGTAGCATTAGATGCATCCACATTTGTTCCAGCAGGATATTACATAACATCTATTCTGGATCTGTTAGTGTGGGACCAAAGAGTGTGCAGGAAAAAAAAAAAAAGAAAAGTATTTTAACACTGGCAGAGCTATGGGAGTTTCATTAATTATAAGGCTGCTCAGTTGGACAGCATTCCACTGAGCAATTGAGAGAGAGCTCATAGTCAGGCTCAGAGAAACTGACACAGAAAGATTTGTGGAGAAGAATTGACACACAGAATGAGACCGAACAGCATTTAACAAGCTCTCTTCATTTTTTGTCTTGTGTAAGTGTTTCACAAAATGGAGTCTATCTTCCTCCCTGTGGCACCACTGCAGTGTGCTGCACTGTTCAGCATCAGCAGAAACAGTAGAACAGCAGAGTGAGACACTAACTGTGGGTTAATCAACAGTACAGCTTTGGATCATGTGTATTTGACTGATCACAATTTCAGCATCTGCTTGTGTTGTTTCTCTAAAGGCAGAGTGACTCATAATGCAATTGATGGAAACAATTAATATGAATCGCTGCACTAAACTAATCAATAGCATTTTTTTTCTGTTACATTTGAAAGACTAAGCAAAAGCAAAGCTTATCATTACTTCTGTTGAATAGCACAGTCTTTCATTTTGCCGTGTGGCTGCATTTCAGAGAAAATCTCATTTCTCACAATGACTGATTTCATAAGAAACTGGAAGTTCGGGCCTTCCTGTTTTTAAAGCAGTGTACATTGCTTGTGCACTTTATTTCCAAGTCAACAGATGCTTTTCAATGATAAAAAAAAGGATAACAGGAAATAGCGCGCACCCAGTCCTTTGTCGTATCATTTTTTACTTTGATGTAATTTCCCGTAAAGTTTGAAAACTGAAACTGAAACTCAAAACCACTGAGTTAATGCTACTTCTGGATAATTTTATTTTTTTTTTTATGTCTTATTATCATCGGTGGATTATTTTATCTCATTTATTGTAAATCTGTACTTAGTTCTCAGTTTGAAGCTCCGCTTTCTTGATAAGGGAAACCCAGATGTCTCAGTTAGAGGTCCCATATTTTATGCTTTTCTTGCGTTTATTTGAAATGAAGAAGATATATTTGTGGTTTTAAGAACCAAAAAAACATCTCAATGTAGTTTTACATCTCCTCTCTCATGCTTCTCCCTGAAGGTCTGGTAACAATAGGTCAGTCAGCTGACTGTTTTCTGAGTGACTGAATAAAAATAAATAAAAACCAAATCCTGGAAGGTTGGATGGTGAGACCAGTTGGGCTGGGTTTTGGGCACGGCCGAGGGCAGTGACTGTATAGTTGTGACATCACAAAGTTACAGTAGTCCTGATGGCTCGTTTTAATGCTCAGTTTCTGAATACCGGCTGTGTGCATTTCTCTGTGGACTGAGCTCTTTGATACTTTCACTGTATTAATATAGAACCTAGACCTGATTTGTAACCAAAACATACATGGAAATTACTTTATACAATATGGGATCTTTAAAATGCTGAAAATGTTTGAATATGAGAGAGCAGGAGCACTATTTATGAAATAAAAACAAAACATTCTGTATATGCTCTGTCACTTAGTAGGATGGAGTGTAAAGTCTGGCCAACAACTGTACTGTAGTTGCTTCAGTGAAGATAAGTTGTCGCCCACTATAACTTGGCACAGCCTTTATGTTTCCATCCTGATGCGGTGGAGTATTGCTTTAAAGATATAACAGACAATCGTTATGCAAACATCCCATTAATTTTCGAATACAATGTTTCAGGATCTATTTCACTGGAAGTGCGTTGCTGTCTTCTTTAACACAGACCACCACAGAAATCAGATCATAAAGCAACTGAAAGCTGCAGCATGAAACGTAACTTCAGTGGTGCTGTTAAAAATAGAAAAAAATTCACTTACTTCCAAGTATGCAATTTAAATAATTTAATGTCATTCAAATCACTAACATCTTGAACAAGCACGTCAACACAGCAACAAACTTTGTACTCAAGTGGTGACAAGTAACAATAAATAACACAATGTTTAACTTTTAAGTTAACTTAACTATGAACTCCCTAAAAATACATTAAAACAACATGGTTTGGAAAAGCAGTAATAAGCCCTATTCTCAAGGTATACAAGGAGTTTTAACATCCTCTCATGCAATGTGAAACATACTATTTCTATGACATTTCCACTCAAATAGTTTATTACATAAAATCACAACTGATGACACTTCGGTGCTGTAACAATTAGGTTTCGTCTTTGGTCAGCAGTCGTGTGCGGAAGCATTAAAATTAGACATCACTGGCCGAAACTGGGTAGTTGTTGGCTGCTCTAACGCAAAATTTGGTTCAGATTCCACACAAAAATGTACATGATGTCATGTCTGGTTAAGAATAGAATTATCCTACTTACTTTTACTTTAGTTGTTTGAAAATGATCAACTTAAAATATTAAATATTTGCACAAAATATCACCCACAGGCAGCTTAAATCTAAAAAAGAAAAAAAAAAAAGTATAATTTTTTAAAACCCCATATCTAATCTGGAAAAAAAAAAAAAAAAGAAAATATCCTTTTAAAGTGGCCCAAAACGCCTCTAGCGTAACTAAATGGCTTTCTGTAACCCTTTACTAAGTATGGCATGTGACTGTTGAGTCCTCTGTGTGCTATGGATTTGTTGTCTTCCTTGGTGCTGTCATTAGATAATTGGCCAGCTCTTTTTGTGACAGCTTATTATGTGTCAGTGGCAGTGAAACGCTACAACTAAATACACACTATCTCCCGGACGCACGCACGCACGCACACACACACGCACGCACACACACACACACACACACACACACACACTCTCCTGTGTGTGTGACAGTTGATTCTTACATCCTCTATCTTAATCTGCACAGGAAACACCTCTGCAAAGAAGGCTGGAGGAGGTCTGTTGCACGGTTTGCTTATGCAGCTCCACGGTCGGAGCGAGCGTCAGCGGCCCCACTGATTCATTTGTCGTCAAAGCTCCAAATTCGCACACCAACACAAACTTATCCAGTGCAAACGCACACTACAGAGTCATTATCATTAAGGCTGGTCATGTTTCTTCTTCTTCTTCCTCTTGTTAAACAGTCCTCGGAAGTGTGGTGTTCAGTGATCCTCCCATTACGTAGACTAAGGCACAGTTTGCTTCTGGATCTATAGTGACGACGGCGGGGGCGGCGTGAGGCCTCTGTATGTGTCCGTGTGCTGTGCAGGTTGATTCTCCTTCCTTCTTTGTTGTCAGTCCTTTCCCTCGAAGGAGCTCAAACATTCCAGTTATGGGTTTTATGTCCTTCCTCTCTCTCTCTCTCTCTCTCTCTCTCTGTCTCCCCCCTTGACTGTGCTCTCATCCCTTTGTGGCGTCGGCGGCAAGGTTTTCCAGGAGAGTTCTATAAATGTCCGAGCGGAGGAACCGCGGGTACGAGTCTCTTTCCATCAACCCATAAACTATCTTCTGAGCGTCGTCAAAGCAGTGCATGGTGGGAGTCTTGACGTTCCTTTTGATCTGCTCTCGGGTGTGATAGTCAATGTTGATCTGCAATGAGGCACAGAGATAGGAATGAAGGGATCTGAGCCAAGAGCGAGAGATTTGAGCAGACACTTCTCTGTGATACTCTGTCAGAGCTCAATCTGTATCTTCATTATTCAGTCTGATACACAAAGATTTAAGTACATGTAAGAGAGATTTTTCTGAGCTGTATTACCTCTTTAGGAGATTCTGCTTTGATGAACTGCTCGTAAATCTTCTTGGCTCTTGAGGACATCCTGAATGAAGACTTGATCTTCTTGTAGTCCTCACAGGTGAGCCAAAATTCAATATTCTCATCGCTGTATTCAGATTTGAGAAAGTTACGAAAGGTAGCCAGTCCATCTGAGGAAAGCACAGAAAACACGCCAAAGATTAAGCATCTGCAACTTCCCCTTTTTTCCTTTAATCTCTTATTCTCACAAACATAATGTTTACTTTTCTAGTATTATCAAGTATTCTCGTCCTCAGGGAAAATGCAACCTACATTTAGACTCGAGAAGCCTTTCCAGTGACTGTGACCATTGTTGGGTATCTTCTAAACTTAGCCTGCTGGGAGAGAATGCAAGTTGGATTACTCAACCAGAATCAAATTTGGGTAAAATAAAACTGAGGTGAACTGTGCAAGGGGCTGCAAGGACTACAGAAGCACGCTAATCAAGAAAAGCATAGCAGATGTGCTTATCAAATCTGTACAAAAAAAAAAAAAAAAAAAAAAATTGTCAAAACCATGGGATATGTTGGTGTGCGTGTATGCTCTGCCAAAGCAAACATGGTGTCTCTAGTTTGTTTGAATCCTTTCATGATGCCATAGATGGAAATGATAGGAGCAGGCTGGCTATTTTAAAACTGAAATGTATGCAAAACACTCCATAAGTCTCCTTACCTCTCAGAGCTTGACGAGTGTGAGAACATGCACTGGAGTCGGCACATAAAGTTCTTTCCACTGTGTAGAGATAAGAAATACATGAATATATCCCTGTTGGATTTACTGCTGTTAAATTAGTTTCAAGTGAGTCTGTCAAAGCATACTGGTGTGTTAGTAATTGGTGTAGTAAAGTTAGATGACATTATCAACTCTAAGCTATTTTGAGGAGATGCCATGAAGCATCAATAATATCCCTGTGTCTCTGAAAGGATTGACGGGACAACCCGGAATCCCTTTGCAATTGCATCACCTAGTATTGAATAGATACATTAACTGAAAAACTATTTTTCATCAAGCACCAAGTCGACGCATTTACTGGAAACCCCGGCCTGGCGTTAAAGTAAAAGTTTCACTCACATGTTCTTGTTTCTCTTCCTGTCATCTCTGTCCATGATGAAGTGCTGTGTGTTGAGTGGTTCGACGATTAGGCTGGGCATTGTTTTGTTAAGTCCACACTCTCAGGCTCTTGGTCCTGGTCATGCTGCGGCTGAGACACACTTAGGAGGGTTCCCCCTGCGATGTGGCTTTATATACCAAGGTTTCCTGTTGCTACGCACCGGGGCTGCTGGGATACATCAGCAGCTCAGCCCAGACTGAAGAGGAAGCACCCCTTCCTCCTCCTCCTCCTCCTCCTCCTCCTCCTCCTGTTCCTCCTCTCCTCCTACCTCACTGTTAGAAACAACACATACTCACACTGTACTGAATGTATGCCTCCCTCCTCTTGATGCCTTACTCCCTATTATGTCTCGCTGCTTCCTTTTCTTTCCATCTGCTGTTGCAGATCCTTCCCTCCTCCTGACTGGACGAGCCAAACAGACAGCAGTCTCTGTGGCTGAAAGCATGCTGTGTTCACATTATTTTTAGTCTGGCAGCACAGATGCAAATGACAGTAACAGTGACTGTGATAGGCAAATCGCGACCTTTGCCCGTTGTGTGTTTTGGTAGCCCTCTGAAATTGGGACTGAAGAGTTAAGCCTGTTGAAAATGGAAGGATTGCCTCCTGGCTCTCTGCGATAAAAATCATCAACTTCAACATTTATCTATCCAGCAAAGGGTAATTCATTACAACTTGGCGGAAATTCATGCAACTGAAGACTACAGCCAAATGTGAGAAAGAGGAAACAGCAAATTGATTGCAACAGAGATACTCCGTAAGACGACAGGAAGTTAGAAAGATTGTCAGAGCGTCATATCATGATCATTCTCCTGTTTCCGCCGCAAAGTTATTACTTTATTGTCCAAACCTTCCATCAAGGTCAAACTGTACACTGAGATCCCTCTGTGGAGGGTAGGAAATGCAAATCCTATTCATATTTTATAAGGCTACAAGGCTAATTCACCTCAAACTGAAGAAATTGTAACTTCAAGTCACTTAAGGGAGAGATAAAAATAAGGTCAAGTGCTACAATAATGAACATGGAAACCATTGCCAGTGTCAACACTGACTCATACACATTTGACGGACCACAGCCTTGTGCGTCTGAGCCTGTTAGTCATTCAAGGGACTGGGAACAGACGACGAGCTGAAGACCAAAAACTGCAAGTTGTGTGAGAACTTGTAGCAAAGTGGACAGTCTGTTGGCGACTGACTAGCATTAGCTGAAATTAGTAGCGATGACTCTTGACATTTCATGTTTCCTTCAAAATGTCACTGCTCTATGACAGATGTTTTGGCTGACATTGAAGCAGAGGTCACTGTACATGATGAGAGGGGATTTACTGGCTTGGACAATCCATATCTTATTTTAAAGATGGGGGCTAGTTTGTACCAAGTGTCGTCTGACCATGTCTTAAGGGAAGTTTTTAGAGAAAAAATACGAGCGGCCACAGATGGGTGGAAATGCCTGCTTTCATAGAGAGGGTCAAGATGTGATCATCGTTCATGTTTGCACCCCTGACTAAGTTTCTTCAAGACTGGTAAGTAAACAGCTGTTAATGCTAATGTTAGCTCTGCAGAAATAGCAAAACTTACAAATAGGTCCAACATTGCCTGTTGTGCAGTCCTCAACCTGTGACTTGTGCTAATGATGTACCACTCTCACAATATAACTCTAAACCTCCACATGGGGAAGGCCTGGGCTGAAGCTTCAACCTGCATGGCCTTCTGATTGTGAGGCGACAATTGTGCTGACAACTACTGAGCCACCACAGCACCCACCAAACAAGCCATCTTCAACCAAAAGCAAGTATTGGACATGCTAGCCCTCGTCACAAACATCAGTCTTATTTGGAAAAAATCTTGATGGTTTTTAATCATTTTATTCAATATTTTACCCAGAATCCCAAGCATCCCCAGCTTTTTGTTGCATTCTGTACAGAAGTATCACAATATCACTGCTATGGTAGGTCACAGAGTGACAGAGTCACACCATCTGCCTCTGACTTCACATTGGTCGGATGGGTTTCTACACAATTTGACTTTGAGATGAGATTCTGTTGCAGTATTCTGCTCATCCTTGGCCACTTAACACAGCCGTTTATTAGAATATTTTCCCAAATAAATGTGAGTCAATAAAAGCAGCTTCAGATTGACAACACAGGGAATTGCGCAGGTAGACAAAACCAGGTAAGAATGGTGTCACTATGCTCGGTGCTCCGACTTTTTAGGAGATCTGATTGAAAATGTAGAAATATTAAATACTGTGCTCACAATATAGTGCAGTAAAATGTTTCCTTCAATCAAATAAAAAAGGCGGAAAATGAAATTTAGTGGTACCAGCTTTGATTCTTCAGTGTTAAACTACCTCTCTGTTAATTGTTGAAGATTTAGAGAAGAAGAAGATTTTGACAGAAAAACTGACAGGAAGAGAAAAGACAGAGGATTCAAAAAAAAAAAAACAACATCTCACAGGAGTGCTGTGATATCAGAAACCTGACTGACTGTGTCTGTTTTTCTATGTTTTTGTTAGCCACTCCTGCTCACCACCTGATGCCACAGGTCGCCCTTTTACAATCTGCCCTCAGCTTCACTGATGCTGCTCTCCCTCTTTTGCCCAAACACGGTTATAAGTGCTGAGGCATTACAAAGAGTCACCAAACACTTAGAGCTGGAGGTCGTCCCTCGTGCTGCACGTCAGTGTGTTTTTGACACAACCTTTATATTTCATTCTGTGAGGAATATATATATATATATATATATATATATAGAGAGAGAGAGAGAGAGAGAAAGAGAGAGAGAGAAACACAATAAATTAGCCTCTACCATCAAGATCTGGTCATCAAGTTCCCCAAGTGTGAACAGTTTTGACTAATACTGTGCCATTGACAGTACTCACTTCCTTTCCGTTACCTTGGTAACCGTGTTATGAGAAAACAGTGACAGATTGTGTGTGAAGAGTAGTGCCATGTGATGCAGGAGATGTGAGACCTGTGTCATTTATCAGGACCAACCCCCCCGACACCCCAGTGTGCTCCTCAGAGTTATTGACGTTTGACATCGAGACTGCGGAGATCGGCATTATCAAAAACAATAAATCTGTTATAGCTTCAGTCTGCAGGCCAAAAAAGTTCTACACTTTATATACATTTTGTAAAAAGTATTTGGATGTTTGGATATTTTTAACATATTGTGGTAGGAAAAAACTCGTCTGCCAAAACCCAAAATGTTCAGTGACACCTTTTTTTTTACCCTACAATGCCCACTCTTGCCATACAATATATACTTTCAGCAACTAAAGCAACATTGAACTTTAAGCTCTATCTACTTCAGTTACATTTACCTGAAACCTTGATCTTTCCCTTACCTTAACCTAAGCGCCTACCTTTTGTTGCCTAAACATAACAGAGAGAGACAGAGTCTGGATTCAAGTCCTAGATTCTGTACACCCATCAACCCTCCTGACCTCCTCCCTTTGACTAGAGTGCTGTGTAATCCAGGCAGCAATTATGTTTCCCTCTCCAAACATAATTGGTAAAACGGATTAGTAGTAGATAAACATAATTCCTAAGAGACAGGGTTGTGTAGCCACTGATTGTAGTGTCAATTTTAACACATGTACTGCACTGGCATTTCATCTCCATACTGAGTTACAAACTAGGCAACACAGATAAAAATTACATGTTAGGTTTATGTGTGAAAGTTCACACTTGATCTTGGTGTGACAAAACAATCTCAAAAGAAAAATCCAGCATCAAATGAAGGGCATCCTTGAGTGGAGATAGGGTGCATGATCACAACGTTGGTCACCTAAATTCTATTCAGTAATAAAGACTATTATTATTATTATATTATTACTATTAGATATGGTTTAAAACTCATAACATTTGAAGGGAGATTCTCAAAAGATGTTTGATGTTTTTACAGCCATGAATTAGTGAATGTGTGGACTTCTTGGTTTATGTTCTGCATATCTTTGATGGATCTTTCATGAAAATCCCTATTAAATATATATTACGCATTGACAGGTAAAGTACTTTGGATTCTAGGAGTAGAAGTGGTTGGGTTACAGAGCAAAATTAGATTAGAAAGTGCAGTAACAATGATTTATCCATAAAATCCATAAACATATCCATAAACAAGGGGAGCACATAGCTTTTAGTCGTCTACCAGATCGGGTTCAAAGAACCTTTTGATTATCAGTATGCAGTGCTTACTTATGCTCAAAATACCACTTCCGTAACTTTCTCGGCAGGTGTTCTAAGGCACAAAGTAAGAATAAATTGACTTAACTACAAGTTGAGCTGCTTGGATTTATATATATATATATATATATAATATAAATATTCTACTTCATATTTCATGTTTCCCTTTTTGAAACACAAGCTACAGTTTCAACAAGATAAGGCCCAAAGTAGCTCGACAACCTGCATAACAAAACTTTATTAACCTGAAATGTAAAAAGCTAATTCTCCACATTTTCTTTGAGCAAAAGACATTGTAATCTTTTGCCAAACGTGCACCTCTCTCAGGTTATTTCTCTAAGTAAAGAACTTACGCATCTCTGCCATCATTGTCTGCGGGTGATGAGATTATTCCCCTAACAAGGCAGCACATCCAGGCTGATCTGTTACGCATCAGGTTGCCCGATGACTCCAGTGTTGTCGTTTAAGCCCCTGGGTTATTATTAGCTGCCTCACTATTCCTTTTTAAGGCACAATTTTCAGGAATAGGGCCATTTACAGAGCAGAGTAGGATCAAGGGTTACCATGGGGTTACTTTTTTCCAGTTTGGTAAACCCTATTGCTGGTGTGTGGAGTCATCTCCGCACCTAATTAGAGGATATATCAGACATGTGACCAAAAACAGAATCTCCTTGCCGGGTGAGCTGTGGAAACTCTTTTTCTTTCATGCCCATCCCCACGCCTGCACTCAGTCAGTCAATCAGAAAAGTAGAAACCTTAGTCTCAGAGTTCTGACTATGTGGAGGAGTCAGAATATTAAGGACAGTCACAGATTTTGAGTGGCAGTGACAACAATAATCTACTGAAATGTCGGTCAAGAAGTAATGAATGAAATTTAACTTCCATTTATGGAACTCTAAATGAAAACTAGGTCATTTTACTCTTCATGTCAGAAACCATTTATTTATCTTTCCTCATTATTTATCACACTGTACTCACCACCTTAACTTACTAAGACTTTCAGTTAGCACATACAGTATTTCAAACAACTTTAAATTGCACAATCATCATCAACAGCATTCTGCCTGCCCTACGTACATGTACTTTTTTTTCCCACTCACACTTACTTTTCTCCTCTTTCCTCTTTTCATTCTCCACAACATTTCATCAAAACATCATCTTACCCCCAATAAAAAAAGAGACATGGTTGAAAACATTGTTTCAGTTTGGGTTCTGAGTATGAAATAGATTCTCTGTGCTGAAAAGAAAACTGTTTTGATCGTCTCATACACTGTGAAATAACTTCAGTTCAGCCAAACAGGAAAAAAAAAAAAGAAATGTGAGGTTTTAAAAAAAGAAGTGTTGACATATTGTTTTGATAACGTTCTTCCTTTCAGCTAAATGTACCACAAAGTTCTGGATTTACGCTTTAGACTCAGGTAGGCGTCAGAGTGCAGGAATCTAGGGCAAGAGTCTCTTTCCATCAGCAGGTAAACGTGTTTCTGAGCCTCGTCGAAGCAGGAGAGGCTCGGCTCTTCCAAGGACTTCTTGATCTTCTCTCTGATGTGGTGGTCAACATTGATCTAGAAGCAACAAGTACAAAACTCAATATACATGATGTAGAATGAGGTGGAATTTATTAAGTATTTCACATATATTATTATTTCCTCTGTATCTGTATTGAAGGTCTTGTATTGTATAAAGTGAGATGTCCATATGTTGTTTGATTATAAAGCAGGTCTAGGTTCTATATTAATACTGTGACAACATCAAGGCGCTCAGTCCACAGAGAAATGCACACAGCCAGAAACGAACCGTCAGAACTTCTGTAACTTTGTGATGTCACAACAAACCACCCTCAGGCATGCCCAAAGCCCAGCCCACCATCAAACCTTGCAGGATTTGGTTTCTCTGAGTGTTTATCTGAAATCTGCTGTATTTTTACCTATATTTAGCCTCCTCTCTTCTGATTGGCTCACCGACCTGTTGTTACTAGAGCTCCAGAGAGAAGCCTGAGAGAGGAGATGTAAAACTACATTGAGATGGTTTTTGCTTCTTAAAACCACAAATATATCTTCTTATTGATCAAGACACCGAAAAGTGTAAAATATGGGACCTTTAAATCCAGAACAACCAAAAAACATGACCCTCAAAGCATATGAGTTAGGGGCTTTAAGGAAATACATTATAGCATCTGATAACAATGCTTATGTCAAGCTATTCCATCTCTTAAACTCTAAACCTCACCTAACAATACATGCATAAAAAACTGTGAAAACAGAGTATGCAGGAAAGTATAGAAGTGGTAACATTTTCCTTTCTAGCAGAATGAGACATTATCAAACTGGTCTGTTAAAAAACTATTCTTGTTGGGAATGCTAAGTCTTTAGATCCTTGAAATTACCCTAAACAAAATCTAGATTGAGAATAGAAAACCTTTCTTTCATGAGCTACACAAAAACAAAAAAACAAAAAAACAAACTGAGTATAAGAATGTGCTATGTGTTTGACCTAAACTGATAGATTCGAAGGCTTTACATTAGATTCTCTACTGCAGAGGTTCTCAAAGTGCGGTCTTGGGACCCCCAGGGGTCTTTGAAGAGGTTCCTGGAGCAAAAAAGGGGAACGATTTATTTTCACTATTATTCCATCCATAAGTAACATAAAGAAAGAATGTATGGCTATTTTGGTCATGGTTTCAAACATTTTCTGATTAGATGGGGTACCCTGAATCAAAATTTTATCAGATGGGGGTCCATATTGTAATTATTTTGCGAGTTTAGGGGTCCTTGATGAGAAAAAGTTTGAGAACTGCTGCTCTACTGGATTCAGATTGAATAAAATATTGTTGAACCCAACCCTATGCTCAGATGCCTCCTCACTTAGGTGCACCAACACTGAAGAATATACAGCGTGAAGCACTGTAGGAAGTGGAAGTTGTGGTATTTGTCATCCATATTGCTTCATATACTTTTACTCATTCTTCCTGCTAAAATGAAGTGTAATTTCTTGTGCTGATGCAGCAATACTCTTCTGTGATGCAGTTGATATTTGGGACTATGTCTTATTTACTGAAGTATAAAGGGCAAAGGAAGCCAGAGGGTGTCTGATCTGCTGACTATTTGTCCAGATGTAAAACTTTCTGCTATGAACCGTCAACCTTGGTGTGACTGACAGACTGACCTCTCTGCAGGCTGTGGGCTGGATGAACTCTCCGTAGATCTCCTCAGCTTTCCAGCGAAGGGTGTCCGATGAGGTGGTTGACTTAAAGTCTTCACATGCGAGCCAGAACTCGATGTTTTCTTCACTGAACTCAGACTGCAGGAAAGTGTGGAATGCTGCTAAATACTCTGAGGGAAAGATTAAAAAAAAGTATTTTAATTATTAATTCTTTAAATCTCATCAGGAGAGTCATTAGGGTACATTGTTTGTACACTCATCAGATTTAAAATATGATTTTCAACTGATTTTACAACAAACAACCGATTGTTTTTCTTACTTTTATCCTGTAACACTTTTTCCAGAGTTGGGTGGAGTTTGTAGTCAGTCTGCCAACTGTAACAAAGAAAGAATATTAATTTTCACCCAAATGATATATAAATAGATTGAGCTATCTATAATAGTGCAACATAAACTACCTGAATTTTGAAGGAGACGGCTCATCATTTATTTTTTGCACCATGAGGCCCTGGATATCCTTACGCCTCTTTCGATTAAGAACAATATCAATCCTGCAAAACAAATGAAGTTAATGTGAGTGCTGGTTAACGTAAAGTTTTAGATTTTAACTGTGTAAAAAGCAAATGTAAAACTGTCCACCTCTTCCAAACCATTTAATCATTAGACTGTCTTGCTTACCTTCTGGGCCGCTTCACATTTTGCATCAGATCCCTAATTTCATAAAACCGCATCCTTGAAAACAAAAGTTTGGGCATCTTAACATCTCTGTAATTGTTCTCTGACCAGTTACAGCCTCTGTGTCTGTAAAAAGTATCGTTGCCTCCTGTGCTCACCTTTAACCAGGCAGGAAAGGTCTAACAGCGATGACGCTGGGGGCCTGCTGGTACAGGTAACTAAATACCATTTGGATAAGCATACATGGAGCTCATGTTTAGACTCACATAGTGTTGCCACTGACTCACTGCTGTAAAATTCCACTTGATAGAGATTTATTTGACTCTGATTCCTGGAAATGCTCATTTGTCTCGACAACTGTCTTATGCATGTTAAGCATATGGACATACATTTTAATGTGTGCATAGAGTTTCTCAGGCTGCTGAACAGAAGGTGAAACTCTGGATGATTCATGGATCCAATACTGGGTCATATGATGATACAAGCTACACCAAGAGAAGACAGACATTAGTCAGTTGCCAGTACCTATTTATGCTATTGCACCATTTCTAGTCATATATCTGTGGGTGTGTCAGCTGAGGATATTTAGTTTTTCATCAATTTGAAGGAGTATCCAGATTTTTTCATGTATTTTAGGTTCGTTGGATTAGCAAAAAAAGATACTTCTTTGATTTGCATTACAATAACTTTTTTGGCCATTTCCGCATTTATTTAAAGGGGATGACATTCAGCAAAGGGCCCAAGTTGGATTTGAACCTGGGCTGCTGCAGCAAGGCCTAAGCCATCATAACACAGGTGAGCTACCTGTGTGCCCCACAAAACCATAACTTATAAAAACACAGTTAAAAGTCTTTTATGCCACAGACCTCTATTGTTGTCCCGAAACTAATAACAGATCAATATACAGTGCATGACATGTTCCTTCATAACCATGAATTCAGCCCCTCTAGTTTATTTTGAGTCAATCCCATTTACAATGTCCTGAGGCTGTAAATACTACCTGTCACAACAAGTCTAAGCTTGGAAATAGTCTCAAGCAAACCCTCAATGTTCTCCTCTTTGAGTAATGTTGGTAAAAACTACAGTGCCCAGCTGTTTTAGGAAATTATTTTGATCAATTATTATGAGTCTATAATATATTTTTGACGCCATTTTAAAAGAATTTTAGTTGGCCTAAATTGGCTTGGAGCTTGTAGGAAAGTTGGAAATTACTGAGACTGAATAATGTGTTGTTGGTTTCAGTAAGAACAGGAGGGATGTGGTCTTATTTCCTCGAGTTTGTGAGAAAACAAGCAGCAAAATTTTGGTTGAGCTGGAGGCCAAGCAATTGAATTTGGCTGAATAACTTTCTCAAAGGTCTGAAAGTAGAAAATGATTTTATATTCTCCTCAGTTGAATGAAGAGAATGTACCAACCTGGATACTAAATATAAACCCACAGATTGTGAGCAACACTGCTTTATATTGGTTGACAGACAACCACGTTATGAGGAACTCTCGAGGAATAGGGGCCAAATAAAAGACCTTCATACTCATCTTGTCATCCATCTCTTCAGTGTCAGACTCCATTTGCAGTGTCACCATGGTGTAAGGCGAAGAAACGAAAACTGAAAAGGAAAAAACTTACAAACAACAATTTTTAAATCTATAAAAGGCCAGAAAATGTGCACACAGAAACTGAAACCTGCCTTGAGTCAAATGAGGACAGTGTGTGTAAGAGCATTGAATGAGACAGGAAGTAAGTTGGGAAGTTTCAATAACAAGCAAGTGACCCAGAACAGCCTCTGTAACGAGAATGTCCGCTGTCTTTCCTGTGAAAAATTTATGATGCTCATATGCATTAATGCCCTAATACATTCATACTCTCCTTTACCCTTAGTCATGTGTGTAAATGAGAATGCCATAGTTCCTCTTATTGCATTAAAACCTTTGTACGGTGCTGTATGACACAGATTGAAATGGAGATTTTAAAACCATGCTTAGTGCTTGTGTTTGAGTGGGTGGGGGTGTTTATGTGGGTGTGAGTGGTGCTTTACAGGAGTCCCTGAGGGGTCTCACTGTAGTGTATAGTGGTATGTTTGTGGTTAAGAGAATGATGAAGTGGGTTCATTTCAAACTTTCCCCTGCTAGAATTACAGGAGCTGCAGTAGATGCACATGTGAGGTTAGAGAGTTGACACCCTTAATATTGCATGCATGACTGAACACTACTTTCATGACGGACATGAGAAAGTGTGTGCAAACATACTTCAGGTGACTTAACAGTCACAGTGTCATCATAATCATCCCACTGAGCTTGTGAAATGTGTCAAATGTGGTTGATTTAGTATATATTCCTTAAAGCTCTATGTCATGCCATTAATTGTTATACAAACTTGTTTTTTCCTTATAACCATCATTGAATTAATGATTAAACCTTGTTATAATTGGCTGCTCATTTGAGGGATGGCACCTTTTTTTAAGCCTGTTTGAAAAAAACTAACACACAAGGACAAATATAAGTAATTGTAAGTAATTTATCTGTTAACATAAGGTTAACACTCCTGGCTCAATCGCTAGCTTACTGCCTGTTGCAGTAACTGTGCTGTTACTCCCAAGGATCTTATGATTAGCTAGCTAGCTACATTTGTGGGGCCACAAGTACCTAATGTTAAAAAGGTTTTCAATAGCACATCCATTGTGCAGTGTTCCCCCATTGTGTGGAAGCTGGCCCTGGAAATTTACACTCCAGTAAAAACGCCACAGAATGTGTTTTACACCAACTAGCTACATATCAAGCTAGCTGGCAAAACTGATGGTTGCCATCTAGAAATAAGAAGGCTGCTTTTGTCTACCTCTGTCTGCAATCAAAAAGCTATTGTTAGAAGAATAGCTGAGAACATGTTATGGTAAATCTGCCACAGTCATAAGACTGTAAACTACAAAATTGCCATGCTAGGGCAGAAAGGTCAGGTGACAGATGTAGCAACAACTCCGACTGTGCTCTGTTTTTTTGGGAGTAGTCTCTCGGTTGTCCCAACAGTTAGAGCATTTTCTTATCATGCAACACTGACCTGGAATAACCTCCCATTGGATATTAGGAAAGCCCCAACTATTTTAAGTCAAAGCTAAAAACTACTAAAAACTACCATTTTACACCAATTGCATCTAAATGTGGGAGTATTTGCTCTGTCCTTTCATCTTTGTATTTTTTTTTATTTTTTTTTAATTTTCTCTAGACTTAAACTGCACCTGTTTACTTTCAAAATGTGTATCCCTTGTATCATTTGTCTGTAGACTACTGTACATTGTTATCTTTGAATTGACCAGGTGTATTTATAGATAATAAAGTTGCCTTACCTATGAATGGTCAATTATAACTTGATGCTATGGTTTGGCTGACTTACAGCCTCTGTGTTTGTGAAGACTTGGGCCATGTTTCCCATAAGCCCTGGTACTTCTGTTCACAAAAAAGACAATACTACATGCCACGTGTCTCACATCACATGTATTTACTCATTGACTTGATTTAAAAACTAAAATATGTTGGAGTTGATTTTCTACTCCAAAAACTGCTTTGATCAGAATTTCCTTTATGAGAACACAGAGGGTGTCAAAGAGGAGTCTTATACTTGTTTTTGTAACATCTTACTGTTTTGTTATCGTATGCATAAGAGTGCAAGATTTAAAGCTTATACAGGGCAACGTATGGGTGCTGCACACATATAAATGCATTCTCTGTGCCGTAATTCTGCTCTCCAGTGCAGGAGTGTGAGCACACCTTGGTGGCAAATGGGCTCATATGAAACACCTCGTGCACTTTGCCTCTCTTCCTCTGATTGGTCCTTGATGATAGTTTGACAGCCTAATTATGGCTGTAGAGCTACCCACTCTGTAGGTTGTGATGACAATGGTCCTTCCACGACGAGCTTCTGTCACTCTTTTGACGCTGTCTGAGCAGTTTTTCTGTGAGTAAGGCTGAATATGCTCCCAGTGAGTCATGTGGATTGTCCTGAATAACTGGAACGCTTTCAAGAAGGGCAAGTTTTTTTTGTATTTCCACCTATTGTTTGTGAAAGTCCTTGATGATCCTGCGGTCAGTCTGAGATAGCTGAACAAACAAATGTATGAATTTCTTAATCCAATCAGAATTATCTCAGGTGCCGTTGAACTACACAAAGGTTGTCTCGTTAATAGTAGCGGCACTGTTCCTGAGAAACATTTTGCACCAACCACCTGCCTTATGAAATATCTTATTTTTCTTTTGTTCTTGTTCTTCTTTTTTTCTAACTTGTAGCCTTAGGTGGAGAACCTGATGTTGTGTCTCAATAAAAATGCAAATGAAAACAGAGACCACAAAGGGGAGGAATATAGAGGCAAAATGCAACAGTCAACCAGCTTATCACTGATCAATGTTGAGTCAGACTGTTTTTTATAAAGGATGATGTTTACTTTAATCCTAAAGAGAAATGATTTACTTTAGCTGTCTGAATACCAACCATTTTGGCTTGTGACCCTTTAACAAGTCATTCCTATTCATGACAGTACGACACAGGTTGTATATGTCTATGAGCAGTCAGTACCCTCCTCAGATTGGATAATTTTACAAATCTTGTAGAGGTACAGTTGAGAAAAATCAGAAAGATAAAAAAATTTTAGTTGCACAACTTATTTTTTCTTCCACTCTCTTATCTTGTTAATTACCTCATGTGAGATTTATTATGCAACCCTTGTGTGTGTGTTTGTGTGTGTGTGTGTGTGTGTGTGTGTGTGTGTGTTGTGGGGGGGGGGGTCTTCAGTCAATGTTGGAACCACTACATTAAAGGTCTGGTGCCTTTTAGTGTTGGGTACTTTATTTTAGTGCTGAGATCCTCTATTAAGACAAATGATTTTTGATGTGAGTGGCATAATACAAGAATTTCATTGGCTGGATCCCTGGTGGTTTCCATGCAGATGACAGTACAACTTGAACCAGATATAAAAATGTTGGACATGATCTTCGGAAACCACGACCAAGCATAGACGTTCACTGCGTTAACCTGGTTGCAAGGGAAGGGCACTTTATCTTCAGTGGCTGCCAGTGACACTTTCAGATCATTGTGGCTACACAGCTGTTTTAGTCCGTGAGAACACCTTACCTAAACCAAAGAGACGCTTGAATCAACAAAGAACGGTTGAGTCATCACCTCTGATCATACA